AAAATGCCATCATCAAGTGTCTGTTGAGATGAAATTCTTCGCCGATCCCTCATCTTCAATATAGATAATTCTGGCCGACCAACATCAAACATTGAATTCATTGCTACAGGTCTATAAACTACAAAGGTAGACAGATCCTTTTAGCTTTAACATAAATATCAGCAAGATTGATGCGATTCCCAGCATGGGATACTCAGCAGCCGGCGGTGCAGAAAGACAAGAAAACCGTTCTCAGACTTTTCGAACGTTAAATTTATTAAAATTCTAGCTGTACAAAAATAAATATATATACAAGACAGCGTTCATTCTTTTGAAAAGACCTACAAGACACACGCAGCGTTCAGTCAACTTCTTCAATCGTGGGTCCCCTATGACTAGGCGCACTCTGCTTCGTGCCCTGGTGCAGCTTGCTCATGATGGGTGAACAGTGCTGCTGCAGCTCCTTCAGCCTGTGCTCGTACTCTTCCTTCTCGGCCAGAGTATTGGAGTCGATCCAGGATATGGTGTCCTTGCACTTATCCAGGACACTCTGCTTGTCCGAAGGAGAGAGCCTGTCTCCCGCCTCCTCTGCAGCCTGCTTGACGCCGTACACATAGGACTCCAGTCCGTTCCGGGCGGTCACCTTTTCCCTTTGGAGTTCGTCCTCGCGCTTGTACTTCTCAGCATCGGCCAGCATACGGTCAATGTCCTCCCTGGACAGGCGGCCCTTGTCGTTGCTGATGCGGATGCTCTCTTGCCGACCCGTGCTCTCGTCCTTGGCCGAGACGTGCAGGATGCCGTTGGCGTCCATGTCGAATGTCACTTCGATCTTGGGCACACCCCGTGGCGCAGGAGGGATGCCGCTCAGGTTGAAGGTTCCCAGCAGGTGGTTGTCCTTGGTCATGGCGCGTTCACCCTCGAACACCTGAATAGTGACGGCCGGCTGGTTGTCCGCGTACGTTGTGAACGTCTGCGACGTCTTGCAAGGAATTCGGGAGTTGCGTTCCACGATCTTTGTCATGACGCCTCCAGCGGTCTCGATGCCCAGTGACAAGGGAGCCACGTCCACGAGGAGCACGTCTCGGATGACCTCGCTGGCGTCTCCGCTCAGAACGGCAGCCTGCACTGCGGCGCCATAGGCCACTGCTTCGTCCGGGTTGATGCCCATCGAGAGCTCTTTGCCGTTGAAGAAATCTCTCAGCAGCTTCTGCACCTTGGGGATGCGCGTCGAGCCGCCAACGAGGACAACATCGTGAATTTGCGATTTGTCCATCTTGGCGTCCTGCAGAGCACGTTCCACGGGCTCAAGGGTGCTCCGGAACAGATCCATGCATAGCTCTTCGAATCGGGCCCTGGTGATCTTGCTGTAGAAGTCCACGCCTTCAAACAAAGCGTCGATCTCGATGCTCGCCTCGGCAGAGCTGGAAAGGGTCCTCTTGGCTCGCTCGCAGGCTGTCCTAAGTCTCCGCACTGCACGGGCGTTGCATCTGAGGTCCTTGCGGTGTTTGCGCTTGAACTCTTCGCAGAAGTAGGTGACAAGCCGGTTGTCGAAGTCTTCACCTCCCAAATGCGTGTCTCCAGCGGTTGATCGGACTTCGAACATGGAGCCTTCGTCGATGGTCAGCACGGACACATCGAAAGTCCCTCCTCCCAGATCGAAGATGAGGACGTTCTTCTCTCCCTTGAGGTTCTTGTCGAGTCCGTAGGCCAGTGCAGCTGCGGTGGGCTCGTTGATGATCCGCAGCACATTAAGGCCGGCGATAACTCCGGCGTCTTTCGTAGCCTGCCTCTGGGAATCGTTGAAGTAAGCAGGCACCGTGACCACAGCGTCGCTGACCTTTTGACCCAGGAACGCCTCCGCAGTTTCCTTCATCTTGGTCAGCACCATGGCACTAATCTCCTCCGGGTTGAACCTCTTCCGCTCTCCTTTGAATTCCACGCTGATCTTGGGCTTGCCAGCGTCGTTCTCCACCTTGAAGGGCCAGTGCTTGAGATCACCCTGGATCTTGGGATCATCGAACTTTCGTCCAATGAGCCTCTTGGCATCGAACACCGTGTTCTCCGGGTTCAAAGCAGTCTGGGCCTTCGCTGCGTCTCCGATGAGTCGCTCGGTGTCGGTGAAGGCAACATAACTCGGCGTCGTCCGGTTGCCCTGGTCGTTGGCGATGATCTCAACACGACCGTGCTGGAACACACCGACGCATGAGTACGTTGTGCCCAAGTCGATGCCGATTGCCGGCGCTCCGCTGTTCGTCCGGGATGGCATACTCGTTTGGCAGTTGATGTCACAATTTGAAAATCGCGCTCTTTGTGTCAGCTGCGAAATGATTGCGGCTGCGAGCGCGCGTTCTGCCTTTTGTACGATTCTTTCGCCATTCCAGAAGCTTCCAGAGAGACCGACGTCTCATTTGGCGAATCAGCAGCGATTATCGCCGTGACGTAAATCTAGGAGAGAGCCCATTGGTCCGCCCTATATAGAACGCTGTGGAAGCTTCCCGCGTCGTCTGCTCTATTGTGGTGTGGCAGAGCTGTTTGTTTTGACTGACGCTTTTCGTTTCGTGATTTTGGCTTCTTTGTTTTGGTTACAAGAGAGAAAGAAAGAGGGAGAGAGAGGGAGAGAGAGGGAAGAGAGAAGATGAATTGCAGTTATCAGCCGTGATCATGTTGAAGTTTGTTATTTCATTAATCAACGTTTATTTCGCAACATCGAGGCTGCAGGTGATTTTAGTTGAGTGTCTGTGGTCAAATGTTCCTGAGAGCTGCTTAGCCCGTGTTTAAAGTTTTCAGAGAACACTGTTTTAGTGTTTAAGAATGATTTACTAAGATTATTAGGTACTTAGACACGGAGTCAAATGAAACAACAATGGTATCACATGCTACGTATTCAGTTATTACTAAACGTTTGTCGGGGCTTTCGTCGTGCTGGGCGTTCGTTCAAATGTCATATTTCATTGAATTCTTTGATACGCGGCTGCGTGTCCATTTATTTGTAACGTGTGGTGTTTCCTATGTTGTGTTCCAGAACAAGAAAACAGAACATGTGTTTTGATTGTTGTGAATCTTCCAATCCTTCATGACCGGTCCCAGTTTGCGTTGTTTGGGATTTCTATCAAGAGATGGCGCCACCAATCCGTGCGCTACGTTGCCGAAGGCTGACTCGACGCCCGCGCGGTTTTCAGAATATTCTCGACGTCTCTCGAAGCTCCTTCGCGCTCCGAAGTACGCGCGTTACTCATCCGCTCGTGACGTATACATCGTCAACCAATCACATCGCAATACGGCCTTTTTTTCTCTCCTCCTCGCCTCGAATATTCACGGGCTTTGGAAGCTGCCCTGAAAAGCGAACAAAAAGTAGTGATGGGCCGAACTTTTGCCGAATCGAAAGTTCGGTGCCGAATCTTGGGATTCGGCAAAGCCGAACTTTTGCCGAACTTTTCTAAAGATTCGGCAAAGATTCGGCAAAAATGCATTGTTATCAGACTCGTTGATATTTCGTTTTTTTTTTTTTGTTTTTTTTTTGGCGAAAAACAGTTTTTTTTCTTTATTTAAATGCAACATGTTTACTAAACAAGATGATATTCTGCAAGATAATTGTATCGGTGTCCTTTTTGTGTGTTTACTGGCAATTTTAGTGACTCCTTGCAGAAGTGGCGTGACAACGAGGTTGGGTAGAAGCGGGTAGAAGCGAGCGTGGCGCAGTTACGAATCACGCTACGAGAGTTTCGGTTTTGAGGCATCATCAGCGCAAGCCTGCACGCGTGTGTACATTGCATTGCAGGTCTCTATTTTAGTGGTACACAGCGCTTAAAGCCTCCTGTAAGTTGAGGGGGGTCCCTACAAGCAGGTAGGGGGAAAGGGGGGGGGGGGGGGGGGTTCTGACGAGATACTAGATGCACATAAAATAAACCTTACTGCTGACTCTATCCACGCTGTACCTGCAACCCTCAAATTGCTAATCCCCAACTGTCACATCCCTGAAAACAAACTATTTTATTGCAAGATATGATTTTACTTTCACTAATGCTGGGGCCTGTGGAGGAGGGTCTCAGACCATACCTTAAAATTAGTGGGGGGTCCGAGACCCCCTGAGACCCCCCAGATTTTAAGCCCTGGTGGTACATTGATAAAATGAAGGCAATAACGCTGCGTTCTTGCTTTCTCGGGAGTCACCGTTTTGTACGCGAAAACGAACGCAACGGTTGCTGAGCCTTCACCAGAAGAGAGAATAATATTGTAAATATGCATGTTCTTCGATTTGAGTCACTTGCGTCAGCTTTGCATGAAAGTGTGCGTCCCATTTCCGAAACTTCTCGTTTCTAACCTTTAGAATGCCTGTTTCTGGTGTCAGGACACACACGGACGTTTCGGAAAATAGGGAGAGTGAATGTCGAATGTGCAACGTCGAGCATTATGGTTTAGTTTTATGCAGATACATGAAAATCGCGAAATAACACTAAAAAGCACTATTATTTTTTTTTGGAACACTACTCCTGAGCCGTAAACAAAATTGTTATAATTGCGAGGAGTGCTTTAAAGTAATTGTCGGCCGATGTCTCAATGTTTCCGAATGCACCGCATCATTTGTCACTTGCGCAGTGGACTGCGTAAATTTTCGATCTTCTATTCTTGAGGCAGAAAATATTGAAGCGAGAACCACACTCGCTCACAAACGCACAGTTACCGTGTTGCCTATCCCACACCGCGCCGTAACCGCTGGTTGTACTACACTGTACGATGGTAACCACACGACTGCACAGCGTCCATTTGCAATCCAAGGCACCGTCGCGTTCTCGCGCGTGCGCAGACATTTGCCGAATTTTTGCCGAATCTTTCCCGAACTTTCCTGCAAAAGTTCGGCATTTGACGAACTTTGCCGAATCTGAATTTTGGCAGATTCGGTCCATCACTAATAAAAAGCGCTCCGCCGAGATCGTCTGCTACAAAACAACACGCATTCGGTCGAGTCGTGTTTCGAGAGCGCCAACTCAGTTCCTATTCGACTACCTCGCTTAGGCATCGAGATGATCGTCTTCCTCATTGCTCCGATCTTCACATTTATGGGCAAAGGTGCCTTCTCTGACTGCGGTTCCATGATGAGTCGGATGTTTGACGGCAACGACTTCGACAGTACTTTCTTCGATAGCATCGTACCTGTTGGCCTCTTTGGATGTCCGGAGGATTGCCGCAGCTCTTATAAAGTGTCCAGTGCGAAGTGTCCGGCCTCCGAGGTGTCCCTGACTCCGGACAACTTCGCGCTGAAGCTGGACGTCCGGGGCTTCGTCCCCGAGGAAATCAGCGTCAAGACGGTCGGAAACTCCGTCGAGGTGCACGCCAGGCACGAAGAAAAAGACTCAGAGGGACGCGGCTTCGCGATGCGCGAGTTTCGACACAAATGCACGCTTCCCGATGACGTCGATCCGGAATCTGTGACGTCACAGCTCACAGGACGTGGTTTGTTGGCAGTCGAAGCCCCGAGTAAGAAGGCGGAGTCGACACCACCGTCTGACGCAGTCCCCATCTCCGTGGAGCACACGTCTTCGGAGGACGTCCCCTCAACATCGCAAGGAACAAATTAAGGAGATGCGAACATTGTTCATGTCAATTTACCGCCTGTGATATTTTTCTTCTTTTTACTTCACCTTTTAGCTATCCAAGGACTCAAATAAATTATATTTTTTTCAAGCTTTCCTACATTTTTCAACCTTCTTTTCGTTCTTTTGCAATTCCTTTCTTTACGTTCTAAAACAATTTTAAAAGGTGCGAAGGTTTGTTGCCATGGGTAAGGTGCATCAAGGCTGTAAATGAATTAGGAACACGAGTCTGAAGAATCGTGTTCCAAATTTATTTACACGCCCTGCGTGTTCAGATAAGTAAAGAGGTCGTCAAGTGTGTGCGTCAAGTGCAAGAATTTATATGAGGGCACAGGTATAAAGAATACTACGTTCTACGCAGTCAGCCTTTTTACGCGTGATCCGTGAAAACTGGGACGCTGGAATTAGCTAAATAAATTTTATTTGAGTTTATATATGAAAAGTAATAAAATGACAAAGCAGGACTTCTTGAGACCGTTTTAATACAAATGCATTTTCGGCGAATCTTAAAAAAAAAAAATAAAAAATAAAAAACACGTGTAGCTTTTCCACTTTCCTGAAGAAGGAAGACCATCGGAGCTAGAATGTAGCGGAGCTGTACTCGATACACTGTGTGCTTCTTCTTCGCCGTCGTCTCTTTTTCGCGCTGTTTCCTACGATGAATTCCCACCAACGCACCCACTATCCTTTCTTCTATTATAGCTGGAAAGGTTGCCGCCATCTACGAGCGACGGCGGAAACCGTACTGGTTGTGTGCTCGCCGCCGTCGCTTATAGATGGCGGTAGCTGTCCAGGTAGGTTTGTGTCGACATACACGGACACGATCCTGGGGAACCTAGCCCTTAACAGGTCCGCTGTCAAAAAAAAAAATAGAATGTAGATTTTTTAAAACTTTTTGTGCAATGTATTTTGTGCTTTGTGCACTTCTTACAAAATATTTAGCGCCCTACCACTGCGAGTGGTTTTGGAATTATGCCTACTAGGCATAAGCTTTGGCTTCAACAGCTTTCCGTAAAAAAAAAACACAAAAAAAAAACACGCTGGTGAATGGCACAAGTCTTGGCGCTTTCCGTCGAGCCTTGCGTTCCAGAAAGTCTTGGTGGGCTCAGCAAAGCCGTAAAGGATCAAACTCTCGCTACGGCAGCCCTCGTGACCATATGCTTCTGCTGCCGCATTCTGTCTGCATTAGAGCCTCTTTATTCCACTCTTCATTCTTTTGCTTCAATGTGAGTCGAAGACGGAGGAGCACAAATGCTTCGGCTAGCTTCTGTCCAAGGTCGTCTCACTTAGGCAACGGCAGCTGCTTTGTTAATGCCGCAGTGCTCCGATGTACATCATCGAGGGTCTTTTTGATGCAATGTTGAGATCTTCATGCTTGCGGAACTCTCCTTATGCAACGAGCAGTAGCCCGAAGACGTTGGGGGATGACATCACCAATTCCTGGTTGCTGCCGTCTCTTACGTAGCACTTCAGCTGGCACAGCCTGGCATTTTGAGAGGCAGCAGAACCTGTCACTGCGGCTAAACACAGCTCGCATAGTTTGTGCTTCTTCCTAACTGCACGAACAATGTACCCAGCCGAAAAGAGCGACTGCTGCTCGTCGTCACTGATGATCTTGTACTGGTCCCATTTGGGCAGCTCATCTTCCTTCTCAGAAGGTGCTTCTGCAGGCTGAGAGGCCACAAACTGTGCCAGGTACGCCGAGTCATCAACGTCGTAGCTCCCAGAGCGACTTGGCCTGAAGAACTGTGACATGGTGATGAGGCGAAGGGCCATCTTGAAGTCTCTTGCTCGTGGCACAGGGTTCTTAGCTCTGACGGTTGAGAAGAGGTTCTCCCGAGCATCCTGCGTGAAACGGCTCAAAAACAAATACTTCAAGTGCTTGCCTTGCAGAAACAATTCATGCATTTTCAGTGCCGTGGTCGCTGTTACGACAAGCCCAAACTGCACAGGCCTCCATGTCTTGCGAGTGCTGTTGATTGCAAGGTGCTGGAAGAGGGAGATCATTTCTCGCAGAAACTCGATGTCATTGCCGTGTACTTCTTCCTGACCATTCATTGCAAACTGCGCTGTTTTTGAAGTCATCAGCTTAAACCATCTGAAAACCTGAAATCGAGAAACATATAGCTCTGAAATAAGAAGGCATAGTGTTTAATCGTGTAATCGAGATTTTGGTTGGACGTCGCAAGATTCCCCAGTGATCACAATTAATCCTCAGTCCTCCACTGTAATGTGCCACATGCCCTCGTTGGTTCAGCGTGTAAACTCCTGAATTAACTTTTACCATTTAATAGGGACGGTTGTAATAAATACTGTAAACGACTATTTTTGCAAGGTCGATATTTCGCAAACTTCTTGAAGTACCGGTGTCAAAGCATTTTCGCGATACGCGGTAGTATAGTATGCTATGTGTTCATTACCATGCGGTGAATTATTCGTGGGACCAGTTTTTCGCAATTATTTTCGAATCTGAAAATTTGGGAAAATTTGGTCTTCGCGAAAATTAAGTCGTCTGCAGTACCTCAGCGTTGCGGTGAAAATCTCGGCCTAACCTGAGATTTCAGTCGCACTTGCTCGTTCCAGCTATCCAACAATTTTAGACAAGTAGTTGTTTCAGAGCTCGACTTATAAGTGTGCATTTAACCACATTGCACATAAAAAATCTGCAGTGCCAAATGAATTTGAGCCGGGTTGTTTCTTAGAACTGTTCCCAGAAGCTTTTCTCTGCTACCTTTGCTATGCTCATTAATTTGCCAAAGTTACCGAGACAGAATTTGTTGTTGAGAATCCATGGGCTCGGCAGTTGAATGTAGTACATACCTCTTTAACGAACCATGCAGTGGTCAGCGCCTCCTTTTCCATGTCTCCCTGCTCCACCAGGTACTTAATAGCTGCAGCCACACTGTGGTCAAGTATCCTGCAGGCAAGACCAAGCTTCATGCTGTCGTAGTGAGAGGGATTCAGGCACCTCTCGTTGTTCGCGGGGCCAGCTTGAGTTTGTTCTCGGTGTCGATCTTGTGGAGCTCCTTGATTGCCGAAATGGAAACCTCACGTGTCGGAAGGTTGTACTTCTGTACATACTCATCTGAGATGAGGATGATGTGCCCTTTCGTGAGGTGGTTTCGCGAATTCTTCAGGATGTGTGGAGCGTCCGACATGAGGGAAAGCCGTCGTCTTCCACCGCAGGGGTGACCGCAACTGTTGCGGAGGCGAGATTGTTTGCCACACACGATGTCACATTGTCACATGATCTACAGAGCGCTTGGTTGTTTCCTCTCATGTCAGGGATCATTACGTCCACATTGATGCCAATCTTCTCTGCTTCTTTCATTATGTCAAAGCAGACATCCTTCACCTCCTTGGCGTTACACGAAGCACACGTGAAATGGTAGGCGACGGTTTGCTTCCACCGTGAAGATATGCCTCCGAACATGAAAACGAGGGCATGCGTTGCAAGTGCCGATTTTCTAGAGGCGGGAGACGCAGGCTGTATTGTTGGACTTCCAATTATACGCTTGGTGGAGTTGTCGTAATCCAGTCCAGGGGTTGTGCTCATTTCGTCAATCATGAGGCATGCATGGCGTTTTACCTTCGTCATATATGGACTCGAGTTTTAGTGCAGGGGGTTGAACGGCCTCATGCAGTATGCCTGGCAGGAACTTTACGTCTAAAAGGCGTCGCTGAAGGGTGTGCTTACTTGGTAGAGGGATGCACAGCTCTTTGACGACGTCGTAGCCACATGTGCCACAAGCAAGTCACACTTTCAGGGCCTTCTGGATGGTTTAATCTGATCAGCTGCTTCCACGCATGGTTCCTAAAATGCAATACAAATCTAGCATCATTCCAGGATATTGATGCCATAAAAAAAATATCTTTAAAGGGCGTTGAAACCTTTTTTAAAAATTTTGTTTTCATATATACTGCTTAGAATAGATTTTTCGGCATTTCAAACTGGTCTTCTGATAAGCTCCAATTTTCGAAGTCACCGTTCCTGCGAAAGATGTAAACACTGGAGTGTGTATCCCAGATAGGTTTGTCCAGAGCACAGGCTCAGTGGTCCTGAGGAAGGTCACTCCAGTTCCCTTTCAAATCTTGGAATTCCGACAAAAGGGGGCTTATCTCATCAAGTTTGTTGACGAAATCTAAATCTATTCCTGGATAATGACCGAAGCCAATCTATTCATGTGATTATGCTGGCCATTGTTTCGGTTTCGTGCCTAAATCATAGCAATTATTCTTTTTAAAGGGAAAAGTGAAAATTTATTACAAACATCTAAAACTATTATCCTGTACATCTCAGAAAAAAGGTTGGGGGGGGGGGGGGGGGGGGCAGCCTGAGGTTTCTGTATTATCCCCCTAAACCCTCTGCACAAGGTCCGCACTTCGAAGCCATAATGCAGAATTTTCAATGTATCCTAATTTGGGCCAGTGTAAGATGCAGATTTGATGCAGGGGCTGCCTCAGCGCTCGGCAGGGAGTGGTGTTCAATCAGCGAGGACACGACTCTCAACCGAACGCTGGGACAGCCTTTGTGTCCAGTCTGTGCACCACTCCGGCCCACATTAGGTAATGTTAAAAATTCAGCCCTACAGCGTTCTATGCAGGCGGTGCACGTCCACTACATTTTCTTTCTTTATGTTTTTTCAGATATATGCGAGTGTGAGGAGAGTATTTGTTGGGGAGCGGTAAACCGCAGAAAGATAAGAAGAGAATGACTTTTTTCAGTTGCTTCATGCGTTTCTGAGCGAGCGGATAACTGTTCTTTCTATTCCAAATTTTATAGGATTGGAATATGACGAAATTCAATGCTGAATTTCTGAGATATTAGAAATGAGCAGAAAGTTTAAAAAAAGAAAACTTTGAAAACGCTATTTATAACCTATCAGATGCACAACAGTTTTTTCTCTTTATGCGGTTGATATGCCACCAGCAGTTGGGGCATGCCCTCTGTCAACTTGCCACCAAACAAAAAAAAAAAAAAAAAA